AAAGACCATAATGAAAAGGAGTTCTCCCACCACAGGACTTATTGGGGGATAGAAGGGCGGGTTGCTTTTCGAGGTTCTGGGTAAGGAAGCAGATATCTTTGGGCTGGTGTCAGCCATTGAAGGCTTTTAATTGGTTCTGCTTCTGGACTCAGATACTCAGCAGAACACGAGGTTGCTTCTTTCAGGAACAAATGACTTGTCCTTAAAAATGTGACTTGTGAGTAGGTAATAAATGAACATGGTGGCTATCCAAGTATAAAGAGGACCTAGTGTAAAGAAACTCCCACTTCTGGAGCCTGGGTACCTCTTCCCCTCCCTTCCCCAGAGATGACTACTGATAGCTGTACCTCCTCTCGCATTTGCCTATAAGATACATAATTGAAACAGTCCTCTACTGCTGAGAATTGCTGGCTTGGAATCTTTCGGCTAAAGTAAACAAAATTGGGAGGGTATTTGTTGGATCTATTTCTGTAAGTAGAACTGCTGACCATAACATATATTCACTTTAAATCTTGATAGAACTTTTCAAAATTGCACATTCCATTTCTGTTTGGCTGGTGTAAGGAAGATTCTGAGCTCAACTCTGTAGTCTAAGGCAGGAAATTCTGTTAATTTATATGTGAAAGGCAATATAGATTCCTTGGGTCTTCTATGAACTAGCTGTCTCTTATTTATTGTTTATAGATAAGTTCCATGAGAAGAAGTCCCCCTGTCAGATGGTACCCCCAGTCCCTGGTACCAGGGACTGAGTCCAAGCCTTTTCATGGAGCTACATCACTGGCCCTTTAAAAAGTTTATATTTTGAGATGGTCTTGTCAAGTTGCTAAGTTACCCAAGCTAGGCCCAAACCTGTGATATCCCTGCCTCAACCTCCCAGAATTCTGGGATTACAGGCATATGCCACCATGCCCAGCTCAATAAATTTTTTTAAAAATATGCTGTCTTCTCTTTTTTACTATTTCATGAAGTCCTTCCACTTGGCCTTTCAGAACATCTCCAAAATAAAGGCTTGTGATTGACAGCAGAGCCCTTTTGAGTCATTTAACGGTTGTCTACTTCTGTTTAGGCTGTGTTATAATCACTTTTCTATTTATGAGGCTAACAATGGAAAAATTTTCCATGGTGAAAGTTCAGCATCATAGAACACCAGGGGACTGAGCAGTTACCTCTGTGATGAGGTAGGTTACTGATGAGGCAAATTGCTCCAAGAGCATCCCACATAGAAATTTCTTCATGTGAGTGAATCTAGAATGCAGATTTCTACTTTCCATCTCGAGATCTTGATCCAATTATTGACTCACATGAAGTCCAATTGCCTGGCCAGTCTTGCTCCCCTAAATTGTCAGGTTGGGGATATTTCAGCCCACCAGCCTCCAGCCCTGTTCTCTGCATGCTGTGTGGTGTAGTTTGAGGGCTAAGAAAGGAACAAGTCACTCTTTGACCCAAGCTGTGCCCTTAACTCTCTACTTCAAAATATTCCTCTTGGCCTAGACCTTGGGCCTATGCTGCCCCAGGGAGGGAGAACTCAGTCCTTATGTGTGGCCTGGCTCCTGAGGCAAGCCCAGTCCTCAGTGAGGGGCAAGCATGGCCCAGCAGGGCAACTGGACCAATGTCCAATGTTTTCTGGGGGTGAGAAGTCATTTCCCTAATGAAGCCAAAATGAAAAACGCAGAAATTCCAGAACACGTGTTATATAAGCTCCTACTCCCAGGAAAGCTTAGAGCTGGCTTCATGGAAGAAAGTATGATTGTGACTAGACTGCTTACTGAACAAAGCTGCCAAAGCACTGGACTTCCTTGGAGCTTGCTTAGCTCGTGGGTCACAGCCTGACTTAGGAGCAGGGTCCCTCTGCCTTTAAACCAGCTGAATGTAACCATCCCATTGATATTTCCTTATTATTACTGAGTTAATTAGCAGGGAATTATGGGGTATTCTTAATGATGATCATTAGTGTTAATGATCATGATTAGTGTTTAATAACCATCTGCATGGTACTTTGTCATTTGATACGTGAAGCTCTACTTTATGTCTTCTCCTTCCTTATAGTGAATTCCCTCAAGAAACCCAACACTTACCATGCTTATTTTCTTACTGATTTCATTCCTTTTGCTAAGTTATTGACAGCTTTGCCTAGTAACCTATCAGAAAATTTCCAGGAAGGGAAAAGGTGAATTCTCCAGGATTTAAAATTTGCTAATAGCTAGCACTTTTTGTTTGTTTGTTTGTTTGTGATGTTTATTTCCTGCTTCTTGATAAGCAGTGAGAAGGAATTTTTTTTTTAATTTAGAAAATGGTAGGATGTAGACACTACCAAAGAGACCCTCCAGCCAAAGAGACAACATATACATAGATCAAAGGAGAAATGCTGTATGTAGCCTTGGGATCTGAATAAAGTGCAGTTTTTTTTTTTTTTTTTTTTTTTTTTTTTTTTTTTAATACCGGGGATCGAGTCCTTGTGCTTGTGAGGCAGCTGGCAGAACCATTGAGCTAAGTCCCTGGCCCCTAAGTGCAGATTTTGATTCAGCAGGTTTCAGATAAGTCTGAGTTTCTAAAAAGCAGTGGATCCCTCTTACCACACCTGGTCAGGTCTGCCTACACTGGCAATCAGTAGGGATGCAGATAAATGGGTTTGTTCCCAGCAGGGACTGTGCTGGTACAGGGATTACCGGGCTCTCACCCATATCTTTGCACCTGCCTTGTGGGGAGAGGGAGGTTCTCACACTTTTCCACAGAAGTTGTTACGGGAGATGAATGCTTTGGTCAAGAACTGGATATTGTGCTTCCGGAGTTCTGAAAGAGAATACAGATTGTTACCAGGTGGAATGATCACCAAATTGTATTATCATTGTCTTTTAAAATAATGAGGTTGCATATGTGTGCATTTTTTCCATCAGACTGTCAACATTTCATTTTTAAGAAAATAGTCTGTCCATCCAGATCCTATTTGTACTAGCCTGGGACAGGCCCAGCAGGCATGGGGCAGCTGAGGAGTACTTCAGGCGGGGAAGGCTGGATAGGAAGGCAGATGTGTTCTTGGGAACAGGTGTGGTGAAAATCGCGGGAAGTGCAAACTCTCCTTTGTCTGAGGTGTGGGAAATCTCAGACAAAGCCAAAATGGTCAGAAGCTTGCCAGGCAAGAGAAAAACAAGGGGTGGTTACAGGAAGGCCCAGGTGGGGGCCAGTGGGGACACTGGGACCCTGTTTGAGTAATCTGGGACTTCATCTGCCAGGACAAAGGTTAGCAAGATTTCCTGAAACTGGCCAGATATTAAACGTTCTCATCCTTGTGGGCCATTTAGTCTGTATTGTAGTTACAGTGGACCCTTGGGTTATGACCAGCCAGATATACAAACAATTTGGGTTACAACTGGAATTTTAATTTTAACTTAAAACCAAAGTCTTGAGTTTGGCCTGAATGCTGGCCACTTGTGGTTCCAGATGGTCTCAGATGCAGATTTATCCCTTAACAAATTCTGGAAGGAACATTACAACATCCTTTCCTGTGTGGGGTCTACAAATCCTGGACCAGTATCCCTCTGAGGACACAGATCTGCCTGCAAGAAAGTGTAGTTTAAAATTATACATGATAGAGACTCTGAAGGCAATTGACCAACGTGAGGCAATTGAGCCACCCCATGGGAATGAATTGAATCATAAGTCAAGCATCTACTGTACTTCCTTGTGGCCCAAACAGCCACGTGTGGATTATTTTCAGCCACTTAAAAAAGTGAAAACCATTCTCACCTGTCAGGCCTCAACAGGTGGAATGTGGGGTTTGGCTCATGGAGTTGGTTGACCCCTGGCCCAGGGGCTGGCTTTGTCTCATAGGGTCTCTATATACAGAATCTTTCACTGGGGCTGGGGATTTAGCTCAGTGGTTCCGGCAGCTGCTTTGCAAGCGCAAGGACACAAGTTCGATCCCCAGTACCAAAAACAAACAATCAAACAGAATCTTTCATTGAAAAAGTTCAGAAATTACACAAAGATAGTCTGGTACAGAGTCTATTGCATAAAGTATTGTGTGCTGATATAGGGGATATGGAGAGGTTGGCATTACTCTGTATTGGGGACATAAAAATTACTGAGGCTGTTCTTGTAATTTGCAAAAGCATGCTCATCTAAATTTATTTCAAATAGTGATAGACTCCTTCACTACACATCATGGAGTATTTCATGTCTACTTGACTCTTATGCCAGACTTTCTGTCCATTTTACAGAGTCAGGAAGGCATCTCCACAGGTGACTACACTACCTAGAGATTTATGCCCCGATCTTCCGCTTCCAGATATTGTGTCTGTCTTCCTTCCCCGAATAGGTGGTCATTGAGAAGAACTGAGTCCTAAAATGTCACTTGCAAGTCACTTGGAACATGGAAATTCTGTCTTTAGGGAAAGGAAAAAATGATTAATTTCCAGGTTATCCACAGATGACCTAGACAAAGCATAGTTCTGTAGCTGTAATGTGTTTCAAGGCTGGGGGCTGTGAGTAGTAGGAAGGAGCGGGTAAAAGATAATTCTCTTTGGCCATGAGTGGCCACAGGAAATTTCCAAGTAGTTAGTGATGTCCAGGCAGTGTCACCCTCTTGGTGCACTGCTTCCTTGTCTGTGGCTAACAGGGCTCTCTCAAAGGTGTTCCAGGGGAACTTTTTATGCTGGGGATTCCTGCCTGGCAGCATGCCTGGTGTCTAGAGCTGTAAGGAAAAGGGACAAGAAGAAAGGCACCACCGAAACTTGCTCTTACCCCAGACTCTCATGCTCTTGTTTCCCATCTCCAAGTTCCCTAAACCACATTGCTGGAAATTTCTAGCCCTGCAGCTGCCATTGTCAGCTTTCCATTAAGGCCTTCAGACTCCTAGGTGGAGATGAGAGGGAGAATTCTAGGATCAGGAAGTTACTTGGTGTGTTGCCCGTGGGCCAGCCTCAGAGGTGCTAAGATGTGGTTGTTCTTGGTATGTGTCATGCTGGGTCATCTTTTGCTGATACTTGAACTTCAGAAGTAATTAAGACCTGGAAATCTTGTTAATGATTCCACACTGTTTAACTTAGATGATCTTTCAGGTATCTGAGTCTCAAACTCTATAGCTGTGATCAGGAGAGGGCTCGGAGGTACTGTTTCTAGCAGTGTTGTTTTAATGTTTAGAATAGCTCGCCACCATGGGAGCTGCTACAGCTGCCCTGGAATCCCATCTCTAGAGAGCAGACCCTTCCTGTGTAGCATAACCCCGCTTCATCCTCTCTTCTTTTAGCACAGGTGTCTTCATGTTGAGCATTGTGTTTGTCTTGTTCCTGACTGCATCAGCTTGCTCTCCCCCTGCAGCTGGGTCCAGTTCTGTGAGTGATTCTGAAGAAAGACTCCTTCCAAGGTTTGGCTAAGTCAGAGGGCGGGAGCTTTTCCTGGCCACCCCAGAAGCAGGCCCTCTTCAGAGAGGAAGCCTGAGGGCCTGTGAAGGAGGCGAGGAAGCTGATCTCCCTGCACCCTGCTCACTGCTCCAGGGAGCTCCCAGGCTCCAGGAGGGCCTTTTATCTTTCCAGGTTGGACTGGAGCACCCTGATCCCACCCTGGCTTCGACATCAGCGATTAGGGCTGCAGGCCAAAAACCAAAACTTTATGCTGGAGGACACCACCTTCTGGATCTTCGGGGGCTCCATACACTATTTCCGTGTGCCCAGGGAATACTGGAGGGACCGCTTGCTCAAGATGAAAGCCTGTGGCTTGAATACCCTCACCACGTAAGTGCTATGCTCTGTCCCCTGCTGCCAAGCCTGCTTATCAATTAAGGGCTCCAGGAGTCTGCAGGAGGAAAAAGATACGAGGAGGGTCCAGCCCAAGTCCTCTGCTTAGGTCTGCAGGGTAAGACTGTCCCTTCCTCCTCATCCTTATAGAACTCCCCATTGATGGGCGTGGAAAGACCTAAGATCAATAGGATAGAAGGTCTAGAGCAGTGGTAGCAAACCTGTGGCACAAGTCCTGCAGCAGGCTGTTTGCTATCTTTGAAAGCTCTATCTTTGAAAGTTGCTAGAGCAACCAAAATAGCAATATTTGCAAAAGAATATAGTGAGGGAGGTGAGTGTAGATATAGGAGGCGATTCCAGTTGTAAATATTTATGTATTTATTAATTTATTATTTGCAGTTTGAACAACAGAAATATATTTTGTCATCCTTTTGGAGGATAGGAGTCCAAGCCGAAGGTGTCAACATGTTTTGTTCTTTCTGGGGCTTCTCTTTGTTTCCTGTCCTTATGAGGCCTTTCCTCTGTGGGTGCACATGCTTCTGTTTCTTCCTCTTCCTGGCAGGTGTATTCCTCACCCCAGTCTCTGCAGCAGATGAGCGTAGTCCTCTTTGAAGTGCCTGCCTAATCAGCTGTCTGCCAGCAGCCTGCAGTGTCCTTCTCATGGGACAGCCCTTTATGTTGTGGCTTTCTTTTTGGCACATGGTATGCCAATTGGCACATGGTGGTAGCACACAGTGAAATGGTAAATATGCAGATTATTTAAAAACTAGGCCTAGTTGTTTATAATCATGGTCTTTTCTTGGATTGTTTTTCAAAATTACCAAGAGATATTTAGCTGCATTTCTCTATATAAAATGGGTTATCAGACTAGATTAATCCATTTTAGACAAAAATATGTAATTACAAAGCAAGGAGAAGGATTTTCTGGGGTGGTTTATGGGCTGGCTTTGAAGGTGATTCCTGGGTTGTAAGTAAGTTCTGAACATTGTTAGCATTGTTGAGAAAAGGTGGGTGACTTCTCAGGACTCCTGAAGTTATAGCAGCACTGTAGAGTTTTGCAGTTTGCCTTAACAAAATGAGACAATGTGTATTTGTGTCAACGTGGAACCTTAGATTTGAATTGGGAGCCTGAAAGCCTCCCTTCCCTTAACTTGTGAATATACTTTTCAGTGAGGAGGGCTTAACTAGAGATCAGCTGTGGGCTGTGGGACGGAGACCAGAGCCTATCACTGTCAAGCCTTTTTCCCTTGTCTCTTGGATTGGCCTTGTTTAGCAGCTTACTTGGGTCCTTATCTTCCCTTCAGACCTCCATTTTGCTGCAGGTTTTGGAAATCTGGGTACTTTGGTACTAAGGTTCTTCCTGCCCCACTTCTGCTTTTTTGCTATTTCTTTCTTTCTGAGGGGGATGAAGGTGGGAAGCTGGTCTTTGGTCATCAAAGACTGATTTCTATGCCATGGCTAGTGCTTTGTCCAAATCTAGTTGACCCTCCCTCCTTCTGAGGGGATGAGATGTTTTTCCCTTGGGGTTTGGGCTAGATTCGCTATGGTCCCCAGATGTGTTTTGTTAATTCTTGGCTCCAGTTGTGAAGCCATTAAAAAGCACATCTGCAGCCATCGTTATGTGTTTTAGAGATTTAAAAAAAAAAAAAGGCAATCTGAGAAGTGAAGTGGATGAATGACAAGCTCTGGCCTCTGATTATCTTTTTTTATTACAGCTATGTCCCGTGGAACCTCCATGAGCCAGAAAGAGGCAGATTCGACTTCTCTGGGAACCTGGACCTGGAGTATGTGGTATTGCTGCTCTGTGACTGGCCAGGGAGGGTGGCAGAGAGGTGGCTACTCAGGGTGGATTCAGAACCCTTGGGAGGTCTCATCTCAGCTTTGATGACTAGGGGCACTGGGGACTGGAGCTTTGTTCTCAGGAACTGGTGAGAGGCTCTGTACCCAGGGTTTAGATGCTCTCCAGCCGGGACCTGTCAGCCTTGGATCCTCCCTTTTTTCTGCAGCCAGAGGACCCAAGACCAAGTGCCATTCACATCTACAGTGGCATCCAGTCACCTGAGCCAGGGCATAGGCTTCCCTCTGGGTTAGCAAGGCTGTTTTTCAGGTCATATTCACTGCTAGGATTCCTGTACCCTGTCTGAAGCCCTTTCTCCTCCAGAGGAGTCGTGTAGATGGGTGGTATGAAACCAAGGTATAGACATTCCATTCTCTGCTGAGGTGGGGTTGACCCTCCCTCTCCCCAGTCTCTGTGGTTGTGAGAGAAAGGGAGCAAGAAATGGGCAGCTGACCCTGTCAGGTATGTAGCCTCCCTTCTGGGCCATGACAAGACGCCTGACTTTGTTTCCCACCTAGGGCCTTTATCCTGCTGGCTGCTGAGATTGGGCTGTGGGTGATTCTGCGCCCAGGCCCCTACATTTGTGCTGAAATTGACCTTGGGGGCCTGCCCAGGTGAGTCAGGCCATGTGGGTGTAGGGTTCCAGGGAGGCTCAACGTATCCAGATGCCAGCATAAAATACTCAGGGTTATTGATTTAGTTTGCTTGTTAAGTACAGTTTCCTCTCTGTGCTCAATTTCCTTTTCAGAGTAAGTGGCACCCACAAGGAGTTGTTTTGAACAACGTTATAGTTACTGCTCTTGTAAAACCTTGGTGGATTGGTACATATGGCAAGCAGCAGCAAAGAGGTTGGCCATTCTGGTGCATTTCATTCTTCTGGGCCAGTTGTGGAGTTGGGACCCTAGGCAGGTCATTTATCTGCTCTGGCCTTCCTTTCTCTGACTACAAAAATGGGAAAAAAAAAATCAGATCTGCCCTGTCTGTTTCTTAGAGATACTACCAATTATTCTTTTAAAGCCCCGGCATTTTGATAAAGTACATCAGAAGCTACTATTGTTTCACACTCAGACCTCACGAGGTCTAATCTTCCAAAGTGTACTTACTCTGCTGAGTTCACTAGAATATTCTGTGGGTAGAGGAGAGGTCTCGATGGTAATCAGCCAGGACTGTGTTGACTCCTTGTGCTCTTCTGTGTTGTCATTATTATTTTCCATTGAAAAGATATTCTTTACCTTTAGCCCTTTTCTTCCTATTTCACATTGTTAATTATCTCATAAAGGTGTAGGGAAAGTGGGAAGGGTAGGGGAAAGGGAATAAGGAAAAAGAAAAAATATGAGAAAATGAAGAAATGGAAATAAAGTGTTTGTAAATGGGGAGGGGAAGAGGGGGTGAAAGGAGGGCAGAGACAAGGGGAAAAAATGAGAACCAAAACCTGTCATGTAAAGGCACAAGATTCCAGTAATGAATGTAACTGTACTGTATGCCTAGAATGTACCTAAAAACTCAACAAAAAGAAAAAAAATTGACAAAAAAAAAAAAAAGAGAGAGAGAGAGAGAGAGAAAAGATATTCTGGTTAGCAGGTACAACTTTCCCCAGCCTCGCCCTGTACTCACACCTGGAGGGGAAGAGTCTGGGCCCTGGGGAACTGTCTTCCCACAGTGTGAGCCCTGAGCCTGGCCCTGTTTTCCCTCTTGTTTCCAGTGCAACCTGCCCTTCGCTCAGGGGCTCCTGCCTCTATCTCTGCATTATCCTGGATTGCTTCTCTGAGCTGGCACAGTGCCCTGGACAAGGCTCTGAATGCTGCTAAAGCTCTGCCCTCACTCTCTGTGGATTAGAGAGCTGTGTGCCATGGTCAGCGATTTCCTTGGACTCAGCCAGAGCTGGGTCCAGAGGACAACAGGGTTTAACAGTATTAACCAAGAAGCAGGAGGAGCTCTGGCCTCAGATCCCTACTATGTGTGGCACCTGCCTATTCATGAGTCGGTCTCTGAACCCCTATACCTGTGAAAAGCCCTAACTGTTTGAGGTGACACTGAATATAGGGGTCAGGCTTGGAGACCCCACGTCCTCTTCATTATTTGCCAACATTGATTAGTACTTTTCCAACTCTGCTTAGGGCAAGAGAATCCTCAGGGCTATGTGTTAGGAAATGTGCTTTCTCCGGATTTCACAGGAGAAGAAATTGCTCTGATTCCAGCTTTGGAGAAAAGCTCTCCCACTTTGTTTCTCCCTCCAGGAGTTTGAGCAGGGGTTGGGGAGCGGGCAAGGGCAGCTGGTGCTTTCCTGCTGAGGGCTGAGTGCAGCAGGGCCATGCATGCAGCTCCTGTGAATGAGCCTGTCCCTCGCTGGGGTCAGCTGCTCATAGTTTCATTTTCCTGAGTGACCTGGAAAGTGGTGTCTGTGTCCTCCAGGCCCAGAGATTCCTAACCCTCCTGGTTTTATCCTTCTGCAAAACCACTGTAGCATAAATGCTTGAAAACTGTGCCTTGAGTCCCATGAAAGACCGTGTCAGCCTACCTAGCATCAATGGGCCTGGAGCAATGAAGCTGGAAATGAACTTGTGCCAGACTGTGTCTGTGGGCAGGGAAGCAGTAGGCTCCTGTGGTATGTGGCCCATGAATTCATACATGTCTCCTGACTTCTGGCTAAGTGGAGGTGGTGGGGTGGGTGAGTCTCCTCACCGGCTCTTCAGACTTACTCCTGAGCTCTCTGAAGCTGCTTCCTTTTCCCTGCACCTTCAGCATGCTGAGGCAAGGACCCACACCCTGATGCCAGTGCCCCTTCCTCTCCCTTTTTGTTTCCAAGCTGGCTGCTCCAAGACCCTAGCATGAAGCTGAGAACAACTTACAAGGGCTTCACCGAGGCAGTGGATCTTTACTTTGATCACCTAATGTCCAGAGTGGTGCCACTCCAGGTAAGAGCATAATGGACTCTGGTCTTTGCCTGTCTTTCCTCAGGTGGTAGGCATCCTAGGTGAGTCTCAGACTCCAGGACCTGCAGTTCTTTCCAACATAGCGACACACTTCCCCAGTGTCTCAGTGGTGCTAAAGGACAGACAGGTGTGAGGACTCCCACTGCTTCAGGTGGTGCATAGCCGAGACTGGAGATGAGTAGGTGGAAGGATTGATAATTGAAGACACCCATCTGTCAGTGGCCCCATGGCACCATGGCTGAGGCCTGCACATGTGGGCAGGCCCTAGCCATTGGTCAGAATTTGGAATTACAAAATTCTAATTGATGACTTTTCAAGGTCCTTTCCTGTGCTACCAGAAAGGTAGTACATGGTACCCATTTACTATTCAAAACAAATATGTTAAAATGACTCTTTTCTGGGGAAAGTATCTTAATATTTTCTGTGATAATTGGAAGCAATAAAAAACAGGAGTGGGAATAATTAACCCAGTTGCTTATGTAAAACCATAAAGAGTGACATTGAGAAATTAATACATCAATAAAAAATTAGTACATCAATAAAAATCAATAAAAATGCTCTTGAGTTAATAGTTTGGAATGTTCACAGCACACATAAGTCAGAGAACTGCTAGATAAAACAAAGGTTGTCCAGTTAAATTTTAATTTCAGATAAGCCAGGAATAATTTTTTAAGTATAAACATACCCCAGATATTGTGTGAGCCATACTTACATTTAAAAAAATCATTGTTTATGTAAAAGTCATTGTAAATTTAGATGTAACTGGATGTTCTGTAGTTTTATTTACTAAATCTGGCAGCCCTATTAATAAAAGAAGCCAGAAGCTTGGAAGTTATTAGCCTGGATTTGCAAGGAAAGTGAAGTTGCTGAAATGCTTTAACAGGTAGAGCTGTAGATCCAGGTGGAGGTGGGGGTGGGGGCCCAAGGGAAGATCATTCTGAGAACATAGTGCAGAGGCACTCTTGGGCCTGGAAATGGTGTACTGAGAGCTTTTTCTCTGGGTATAACTATTTTATTTTTACTGTGGGAAATACACACAACACAAAATTCACCATTTTTAGTGTAATATTTGGTGGCACTTTCCCTTGTTGATGGGGATATCTTGCTCTCAAGACCCCCAGAAGATGCCAGAAACCACAAACAGGACCAAATTCTATATATACCAGATATTTTCCTATAGCACATACTTATAGTAAAGTTTAAATTACAATTCAGGCATTGTAAAAGTTTAATAACAGTAACTGATTGTAAGCTAGAACAGTTTTAAAAATACACTGTGCTAGAATAGCCAGAATCACTAATGTTGTACTTTGGGGCCATTCTGAAATACCACAATACCGAAACAGTGGGTCTAATCACTGAAAGGGCAAGGGTGAGCAAAAACATCATGAAAGTTCCACTCTCGTGTGGGCTGTTTCTTGATTGTGTGGCCACTTATTTGCTTAGATCTCTGACAGGTTCTCAGAGATTGTTTGAAGTTAGGCATAGTTTATAGTTTTTTATTTGATGTTTTCATAGGAGGACCAGAGCCTAGTGCTTCCTGTTTCCTTGTCTTAATGACAACACTCTTAATTATATACCAAGCCTTTGAAGACTTCTCTTTTCAAGTGGGATATGTTGCTAGTAATTGGTAATAGGCATGATGGATTTAGATAACATGGTTCCCATGAATTCAGTTTCTGAATGTTCATCTCTCCTCCCTAGTACAAGCACGGGGGACCCATTATTGCTGTGCAACTGGAAAATGAATATGGTTCCTACAACAGAGACCCTGTTTACATGCCTTACATCAAGAAGGTGAGAGTCAACCCAGTTGGTGTCTTCATGTACATTACATGAAAATAATGAATGTAGGTCTAATATTTTCCTCATATTAAGTGCTGCTGTCTCCCAGCAGCATTTATTAATGGCAAAATTTCCTCCACTGATTTAGTTCAGTGGGGTTTCTATAGGCCATCACTTAGTCTTTATTCAATGGGGACTGTAGTACATATGTAGTGTTCCAGGGGCTGAGTGGTGATTAGAGAAGTCTTCCTGAGCTGCTGCCCTGATTCTAGCCCTGGGCTAAAGCCATGATTCTCTTATCTGGAGAGTTAAAAAATTCTTATGCTCCAGACACATACCATGCTATGTGATTACAAGAATCTGAGGTGGCCTCCCATATGTGAGGGAGGTTGAGAATGACCGCTCTCATACACAGCAGATTGGGGAAAGGCAGGGCTGAGGGCTGTAGTGATATTTAACAGAACAAGCTAATATTCAGGCCTGGTTTCTGTCACTTGGTAGCCAAGACTTTGAACAGATGCCTTATTTTTCTAAGTCTTCTTTTTTCTCTTCTACAAAGTAGGATTAGAAAGAATATCTGCCTCTCCAAATTGTACTGTGTAAGGTCAGACAGCTCAGCACAGTTCTAGGTTTATAGTAAGTTATCAAAAAGTAACTTTGCTAGATCATTGTCATTCAACTGAGAGTCTTCTGGAGGGTTAACTACCTTGGGCTCTGAGTGCGGAAACATTAACTGTCCTCTGGGGTGAATCCATTTCTTGGAAGGCTGAATAACTTTAGCTTTGGCTCTTGATGGCACAGGCAGCATCTCTTTTTCCATCTTCCACAGATTCATTTTCTATCTGGAAATTACTTCTGTCCCTGTAGACTGTATGTAGATCAAGGCTCAAGCTCACCAGCCTGTAGATTCTCCTAGACCCCCGGTGTCCCCCAACTTCTCACCTGCAGAAAGCTTCTTGGAAGGGCACATACTGTGTCCATGATTAGGGGGGCATCCCCCAAGAAGGAGAGGGGAAAGTTCAGTCCTGAAGTCTAGCCCTAGTGACAGCCTGGAAGAGAGCATATATCCAACTTCCTTTTCCTGTTTGAATTACCTAAAATGATCCCAGACCAGATTCCAGCCTCCAGACCAGCCACACCTCTTTCCCTCAGACTCCCTGTGGGGGCTGGGACCTCTCTAGCCACTGCTGGATGACTCACTTGCAGAGGAGGAGAGCTGCTGCGTAGTGAGCAGGAGAGGACAATGTAGCTCCTTGGGGACTTTGCCTTCTGGGTTGGGGTGCAGTGCCCAGGCTCTGCCATCCTGAAGCTCCAGGGAGAATGTGCCCAATGCCATGTGGCTCCTGCTGGGGGTGTTGCCTGGGTGTGGACGCCAACTGGCACTGCAGGGCCTTGGGCAGGTTCCCTGACCTCCGATCCAGAGCCTTAGTTTATTATGTTCTAAATGGAGACAATTACCCGCTGTAGGATGAGTCAATAAATGAATGCCTGTGAGCTATGGGTGTGTGCAGATGTTGTAGGAAGCTAAGCAGATGTTATGTGTCAGGAGTGACTGATTGGATAGCTGAAGGGAGTCAATCCAGAGCTTTTGATAAAGAACTTGCCCCGCCTCATAGTAAATACTCCCCTGCTCTGTCATTCCTGAGAATTATACCCACTTTGCCCTTTTCTTAAAGGGATGCGGAGAGTAACATAAGTGTTACTCTCCCACTAGATGATATCTCTGCCTTCTCTAGTTCCAAAATAATTCAGTTGAAATAAAGTCTTGTCATAAGATACTCAGGGAAAATTAGGGGAAAATCACCTTTGAGGGGATTTCTGATCCCAGTGTGCCCAAAGCCTGAGCGCTGAGCCTTTGCTATGGACAGATTCTGGTGTTGACCCAAGCTCTCTCCTTGTCTGTGTGACCAATAATACTCTCCTCAGCTATACTGCTGATGGATTAACTGTGAAGATTGAGTGGAGAGTGTACGAAGTGCTTAGCAAGAGGTCTGCGCCTTCGTAAATACTATTCTATAAATGCTAGCACCTGTCTGTGTGGTAGAAATCCTTATAATAGCCTCTCATGCACAGTGTGCTTGCTCACTTTGTCCTCAGACTGACACTCCACTGGGCATGGGCAGTGCATGTGACATGCCACTGAGGCACAGCTAGCCCAGCTTGCCTTTGTTGTTGGCCAAGGCCACACCGGCTCAGTGTGGGGAAAGACAAGCTATCTGCTCATGGTGTGGGTGACTGGGAAGACGTGGATGCTATCCTGGAAGCTTAATCTCCTCACTGGAGCCCAGCAGGCAGGTTCCAGGTGACAGCATGGCATCTGATTTCTGGAGCTAGCCTCTGTATAGGTTGTCTGGGAACAGCAAACCAACCAGACCTGCAGAAGCAGGCAAGAGCTGCCGTCTCCAGCTGCCTGGTCCCTTGTTGCAGCTGGATAGCAGGTCCATTTGCTGAATATGGCAGGCAGAGACAAGGTGGACATGCTGCAGAAAATGCTTTCATTAGATTTCTCCCCCTTGCTCTCCCAGCTGCCTTATCCCTAGCTTTGTGACACCTCAGCAGCTGTGAAGAATAAGCACTCACTGTGACTTGTTCTTTGTCCCCTGTAGGCCTTGGAAGACCGTGGTATCATAGAACTGCTTTTGACTTCAGACAACAAGGATGGTCTGCAGAAGGGAGTGGTCCATGGAGGTACTTGCAAGGAGGCTGTATGGGTGTTGCATTATCTTCAGAACCCATCTGGAGTAGTGTTTTGCCCTTTGACTGTTACCATCATTTCTCTCATGTTACTGGGGAGCATTTTGATTGACCTCTCTTCTCATCAATGATGCTTCCAATTCTTTCTTGACATAGCAGAGGTGCATGCATTTGAAAGTGTAGCCAGGATCATCAATCCAGGTACCCCACAGGGAAGTGAAGGTCTTGAGAATGACCTCAGAAGACCTCCCAACACAGCCTGTGTGACTGGCTGGGCTCCCTCCCAGCATTTCCCCTTGCACACTCCCTTCCACCCTCCTGGCCTTCTTGCTGTTCCTCAAATGCACTCGGCACCCTCTCCCTTGGAGGCTTTACACATCCTACAGAGTGTTGCTGTGGCTATTCCAAGGTCACCTCTAGCTCTACTTGCCTCTAATGTAGCATATGCTTTGCATTTGTAGACAGGGACTTTTCTGTCTGTATCACGTCCAGCAGTGCCTGGCATGTAGAAGGTTGTTGTCCCCCAGGGAGAAATTTAAAGGCCCAGAAGACCTTATTCTCTGGGTGTGGTGATGACTGGCAGTGATTCCTGCTGTTTCCACATGGTGGCACTGTCTCCTCATGACTTCCAGAGGTGTCTGGGGCTGTGGCTGTGTGAGGAAGACCTTTCAGATGCTGGTGAATAGTTTCAGATCTTTGCAGTCTACTGACTGAAGACCTGTGAGGATGCCTGGATTTGCTCTCTCCATGCCCAGTCCTTCCTTGCAGTCTCTAGCTCTCGAGTCCCTGGTGCCATCAAATGCTGCCTAGAATACTTTTTTAGGGATTGAACTCAGGACCTTGCACTTTGGAGGCAGATGTGGTGCCACTGAGCTAAATCCCTGGCCCCAATACTTTTTAATTTAAGAAATTAATTAAAGAAATGCATTTACATGGTTTAAAAGTAAAGTCATGCAAATGCTCATGGAGAACATAGCATTGCCTGCCTTCTCATCCCATTCCCTTGAAATAACCATCTTGAATTCCACCTTTTTCTTCCACTACTCTCCTTTCTGTTTCTGAACCACATGCACTTAGAACTCTATGTTTACTGAACTAACTTTCTGCCTGTGACTTTCTGTTCTAGAGATGATGGTGTTTTTTCAGCCTGCCTCTCAGAGAGCTGGGCGTCTTGACATGCATGCAGGTCATGTAGTAGCCTTCCTGAGGCCCTTGACCCTCCACTTGTTTCCCTACAGTACTGGATCCTCCAGTTGCAAATCAGCTTACTCTCTAGTATACTTACTGCTCACTTTCAATGTAGTCATGGTCCTGTTTGGTTTTATTTTCGTTGCAATTTTTCTTTTTCTTCCTTTATTACCATCCCACCTCTACTCACCCTCCCCCAGCTCTCTCTCTTTTTAACAAATGCTTTTCCTGAAACTTTGGCTGGTGCTTTTCAGTGCTGTGCATACCAGATTCCACAGTGGGGCCTGGTACTTGCCAGGAGCCCTCCCGCTCTTGTGTGTGATCTGTGGAAGACCTGCTGCACAGCTTTATCCTGTCTCTTCTGTGTTGGACCTTGCTTCCTGGGGTTTGAAGACATTATTCCATTGTTTTCTAGCATGCACTGGTGCTACTAAAACCCAGTGACATTCTGGCTACAGATCCCTTTGTGTGTCCTAATTTCTTCCTCTTTTCATTTCTTAAAAATGTAGAATTTTCTTTTTGTACCCATGATATTCTGGTATTTCTGATATTTTCTGTTGTGAGACATTTTTATGTTCATGCCACTTCTGTGAATCATTGAAACTGGCACAGTAATGTCTGCCAATGGTGAATGTTTGTTCAGTCATTGTGTTCCTTTGGCAATGCTTCACCATCTGACTGTGTGGTCTTTTCATAAATCTTGGTATTTGTACATGGCCTCTCTGCTTGCTCTGTAATCTTGCTGTCTCTTCTGCCCACCCAGTCTTCCAGATGAGGGATGTTCTCAGTTGCTTGACTCTTACCGAGCCGCTTTAAAAAGAGGCCCTGAATGCCCCCTTGGTGGCCAGGGAGTGGGGGAGGCAGAGGACAGGACTTCTGCCTTTCAGGGTGAAGGGGCCATGGGCTGTTTCAAGGAGGGGTACCTGTATGTCAGTGTCTGGAGACACTACCTGAGTACCACTGGGCATCTATGCAGAAAAGGCCTTTTGTTTTTGTTGTAGATATGTTCCCCTTGTTTGGGGAATCCCCTGCCATATTCCCTACTTATATCCTTCTCCTGTCCCACAGTTCCACACCCTTGGGGTTTTCTAAGAGCAAATGAACCATGCAAAGAGATGGGCACAGGTGGAGAAAGAGGCTTGAGGATAGGGATGTAAAGCTAGGGACAGGTGTCCTCCCCTGCATGGCCTTGGTGCTGGGAGTGGGTGAAGCCTTGGGCTGGAGGTGGGAGTAAATGGAAGCTCCTTCCCTTCTCTAATGGCATCACTATCCCAAGATTCCCTAGAACTTCCCTCTGCTAACATCTCTTCCACATTCTTATTCCTTGGGGCCGTCTTGTCTGTCCCCCCATCATCTTATGTGGTGAGGTGTTAAGAAGGAAAGGTCACAGCTATGTGTGTCTAGTCAGCTCTGTGTATCCCACTGACTTTGAGACCTTTGCCATTTCAGTTTCAGACAGGCTGCTGAGCAGTTTGCAGCTTTGGGCAAGGAGGGTTCTGGACAGTGACACTGTGGTCAGAGGGCTTAGGTTTGCAGCCCTACTCTGCTTCCTGCCAATTTTATGACCACGGGGCAAGTTGTTGCACCTCCCTGAGTCTCACCTATTGCTTATTTTTCTTCTCTGGTCATCTGGGGCTTATATTCTGCAAGGTGGCTGGGCTAGCCTGGCTGCCTCAGTGTCTGACATCATTCCAGGGCCCACATGAGCTCAGGCCAAGGCCTGTGCATGTGAGGTCACTGTGAAGGTTGACAGCAGGCATATACAGATCCTCACAGCCAAGCGATGTACCTGGTTTAGCTAAGAGAACCATGGCCAGCCACAAGACATAGTGCAACTTTCTGGGGCATATTTAAACTTGAAAGTGAACTCATTATGGTGCAGTGTAGAAAATGACACTTCATCAAGAAAACAGGAGGCTTCATTGAGATCAGTATCCTCTGCTCCATGCTTTGTGTATGAAGTTCAGATGTTTGCTACAAAAGAATAGTTATCGTAGTGCACACTGTGGCTGTAAAACTACAGTTACTCAAAAAGAGATGCTTAGTGAGTGACTGCTGTGCCTGCTCTGTGCTAGGTGGTGAAGTTTCCAAGATTAATAAGGTAAGTCTGCTGACATCAAACCAGATAATGGACTGAGAAGGGCTTGGTGTTATTTATAAAGACTTCCTGACTTTAACACTGTTTTGTCTCCCCTTTCTCCTTTCCCTTCAGTGCTGGCCACCATCAACCTGCAGTCACAACAGGAACTACAGTTACTGACCACTTTCCTCTTAAGTGTCCAGGTAAGTCTGGCCCAGGGAAAGTGGTGGGCCTTCCCAGCACAAATGTCAGGGTTCTGAGTGCCCTGCTAGGGAAGACGGATGGGCTTGCCCTACTTTTCAGCTTGGAGCCGTGTTGCCACATTCCTGTGAGGGAAGCAGTGTAGAGGCTGCTCTGTGGTTTTGCTGTGTAGGCTGATGCGGTGGCATGAGTGAGATTTTGAGGATTTCATAAGCCCCAAACTTGCTGCAAGGGATTAAGGAAGAAGAGAAGCTTTTCTCTGTTCTAGCCTATCTATAGAAGGTTCTGATCTTAACTTGGAAGTCTCCTCTGGTCCTAGAAAGATGACTCTCAAGATAGAAGCCCAGTCCATCACAAATCAGGAAGAGAAAGAGAAGAGTTGCTAGATGTGTCTGAGCATCATTAGCTCAGTGGTTGTGTACAGCTCAGTCTTATTCTGATTGCTCTCTCCTGAGTTCACAGGAGACAGATGTCAGGCCAAGATGCAGCCTGACAGCAGAGGTCCCATCTCTCACCCTAGCTTACTGAAGGGAGCGATGAATGCCCCTACCTGTTACATGTCCTCTTTGGTCCCAGACCTAGAGTAATGCAGTTATTGACTGTGGAGATGGCTGGGACAAATCCACTCTAGCTGGTGTGTTTTAGAACAGGGGTCATGTCCTCAGGCCCACCCTCATGAAGTCACCATGGCCATTGAGGCCTTGCAGGATAAGGGCCACATGTCCCAGGCAGACTTCTCCTGGGAAAGATAATGGATACAGGTGGGTCTAGGTGGAATCCATTTCCTGAGTGCCTGACCTGTGCTTTTATGCAGTACGGTAGGTCACAGGGTCTCTGTACTCATAGAATTTGTAACCTACTTGCTAAGAGAGTGACGTATGAAACACACAACTAATAATAGCTAAGTAAGACTGCACATGAGTGTTGCCAAAAGGAAATATAGAATTCTGTAAGCTACCCCATACCCACCTGACCATTCTAGTGTGTAACTTAGGGCAAGTCACTGAACCTGTGTGTGTGTCTTTCCCCTTTAATTAACAGGAGATCATGAGAGTCCTACCTCATAAGGTTGCTGGGGTTAGGGTTAGCATCAGTGGCCCATAAGTATACCACAGACCCTGGATCAGATTTCATTGTTCTGTAGGCAGCTGCCCTCAAGATGCTATGCCATCACTGGCAGAGGACATTTGATCATTGATGAATGTGTGAGGAAGAAGACTCTGGTGCAGATCTGGAAATGCTAGCAGATCAGTCCTTACACTTCCCCCAGGTACTCCAGGCCTGCTACAAACACCAGAGCCGAGCATGGCCCTGACAATGATCTTTGCCTCTTTCTAGCAATCACACATCAAAGTCAGCATTCTGAAATAAAATTTCAGACTTTGACTGATTTCCAGACTGTGGCTGTAACACCTGTACTGTGAATAGCTGAGCTATAAGGCCCTGATTTTCTGGTCCAGTTTTGCAACCTGCTGTGCAAGCTAAGCTAGACCTTGGAGACACTTTACTCTGTAGGTCCCTGACTCTTCCAGGTAAAGGAAAGTGGCAACTCTAAGAGGTCTGCATCCATGGTGGGCCTTTCAGGCACAGAGTCATGCTGGATAGAACATTTCCTTCTCTGGAAGAGTACAGGCAAAGCTTGCCTTGATCCAGAAAGCAACTCAATATAGAGAAGGGCTTCCCAAGCAAATGGTGAATTCTATTGAAGATCTGCTAGGGAAGATGTGAAGATCTGAGCTACTACCAATGTCTTCTTGCTGGCATCCCCTGTATGTGCCATTGAAACCACACATCAGAATCTACTACCTCAACTTTGTAGCCTCTTCCATTCTATATCTTCAGCTATGGAGGCCACGTATTCTGGATGCATCGTTTTCCTCTGTGCTCTGCTTCCACGAGCCCTTTAGGCAAGGGTTGTGTGGTCAGGGAAGAGGCAGGAGGCAGAGGTGCTAGGGTCCTCTCCAGGAAGGGCATCCTTTCCTTTTTGGGTGGCTGCCTGTCTAACTCGTTTTGTGGTACTCAGGGGAATCAGCCCAAGATGGTGATGGAGTACTGGACAGGGTGGTTTGACTCGTGGGGAAGCCCGCACAATATCTTGGATTCCTCTGGTGAGTGCCATGCTTTGCCAACATTAAATATGTATGTTGATTTTGGAAGTAAGAAGGTGCTTCCTGTTCTCTGCTAGTCGATGTGTGAGGCTGTAGGATGCAAGGCTTTTGGGATTGTGACTGATAGGTTTTGATATTTCAAGATTATTTGTCTTTACATTTGAAGCAAAAGGGAGGACTTTTAACATTGCTTTTATATATTTTTGTGATTAGAAAGTAATGAATGTGTACTGTAAACATCTGGAAAATATAGAAAGGGGCAAAAAAGAAAAGCACTAGAATTCGGAGAATAATATTTGCAATGTAGACAGTTCTTATTACATCTCCATCTGCAGGCCTGTATGCACATCAAATAGAGACCAAAGCGGTGACGCCCTGTTGACCCTGTCACCTGCTCAACCTGGTTAGGGACACAGAGAAACATCTTTCTGTACTACTGAGCATAGACTTACATTACCATCTTAAAAAATGCAAAATAAAAACCCCATTGATGACTAAACCATCACTTACTAACCCAATATTTCACTGGTGAATTCTCAGAGTTTTCCCCAGCTTTGATGGATTCAGCAGCCTTTCAGGTACCCTTGGACTCCAGTCATATGCCTGGTACATCAGTTCTCACTGATAACAGAATTTCTGTAGCAGTGCACTTTCAATGTGTGTACCAAACTGCCCTCCAGAAAGATTGTGGCAATTTTCACTCACCGTTACTAAATGATTTCTTACAGGTTCGTCAACACTGAGTACTAAAATAATGCTTTGGGATTTGCCAGGCTGACAGGCTATTGTCCAATTTGCATTTCTTTAATTGATATTAAGAAAATAAGTATCTATTAACCATTTGTTCTTCTCCTCGATATTGTCTTTTCGTCCCATGAGTTCCAGCATTGAGGGAGGGGCTCAGAGCTGTGTCTTTAGTGAAGAGTTCCATCTTCGTGCATTCTTCTGAGGGTGGCTGCTGGGAGCACAATGCAGCTGGAGTGGCTTGGCCCATGCTTTAGGTGTCTACATGGTAGTTAATAGACTCAACAAGGACTGAAAACAATGGGACCAGCCTCTGGGCTGGGACTATGTCCAGTTCCCTTCCTCCTTCTCTAATGTGTGCTTAGGGTGGCAGGAAAGCCAAAGAACAGAGTGATGCAGCAACCTTACAGAAGGGTTGGGATGAGAGTCCCAGAGACACTCAGGGCTCGTCTCAGATGCTGACTGACTCTGCTTGCCTGTCCCTCTTCCCTCTCCTGTAGAGGTTTTGGAAACAGTGTCCGCCATCGTCAATGCTGGCTCCTCCATCAACCTCTACATGTTCCACGGAGGCACCAATTTTGGTTTCATAAATGGAGCCATGCATTTCAGTGAATATAAGTCTGATGTCACCAGCTACGGCAAGTATGATTCTCCAGTCCTGGTCCTCCTGGTCCTCCCCTGGATTTGCAGGCTGGGCTTTTTTAGAAGAGTCTCTAGGGACAACTGGCACCTTTAATGTATTTGGCTATAAAGTACCTGGGAAGGCAGAGGCTGTGTCTGAGTTGTTGCTTCTGAACTTTGAGCGCAGCAGGAGACCAGGCCACTTGGTGCCTGGGACATGGCTGTTCTGCTGCAGATGCCCTTTGGAGGTCATGATCCAGAGGGAGGGAGAGAAGGCCTAGGGTGATGAGGATGGAAGCAGCAGCCTCTGCCTCCTACTCAGACCTCTGAGAGGGTATATTCAGGCCCCTTTGGATTGGGAGTCCTTGAAGAGTAGAATACGCCTCATTTGCCTGCCTGCAGCTAGAAATCTAGGGTCATACTGTGCTTGTAATATTTCATACATTTAGTATTTGCAGCAACTGAATGGCTCTTACTAAACGTGGCTTACCTACCCCAGCTCTTCCCGTCTCCTGCTACACAGATAGTTCTGGGGATAGGGATGACCATGACAGTTGCACGGGTGTCTTTCAGACTATGATGCGGTGCTGACGGAGGCTGGTGATTACACGGCCAAGTACGGGAAGCTCCGAGATTTCTTTGGCTCTCGCTCAGGTACCAGCCCAGCAGGCAGCTGACATGAGCTCCACGCAGGCATCTACTCTGAGTGTGTGAAATTACTTTCCCACCCTCCCTACTCACCCTAGCCATGGATTGAAGAGACATTTTTGTCTCAGTGTGTGTACGCCCCACCCTCCCCCAGGCTTTGCCTCCCAGAGAGGTTTAGGCTGTGCTGAGAATTTCTCAGGATACAGGAGAACACAGGCTGGTGGAGGCAGTGACAGTCTGGGTCCTCCAAGGATGGATGTGTGCTATGTCTGTCTGTTGCAGGTGCCCCTCTCCCTCCCCCACCTGACCTTCTCCCCAAGATGGCCTATGAGCCAATGGCACCATCTTTCTATCTGTCACTGTGGGATGCCCTCAAGTACATGGGTAAGGTGAGTGCATGGGCCAGGGAAGCAGGGGCAGCCCCTGGATTGGCAGGCAGGGCCCAGAAGCTCTCCAGGAGGGGTGCTGGGAAGACCAAAGCCAGCTACTTTGTTTGATACTCTGAGGTCCATTCTCCAACTTCAGAGCTGAGAGTGAAAACAGCAGACTGCAATGGGGCACCAAGTGAGAAAGAACAAAAGAATCTGAAAGCAGGAGATCTCATTCCTCCAGCCATCTCTGTCTGGGAAAGAGGGCAGAGGTTGGCAGAGGAAGGTGGTGACCCTTGTCCTGTGAAGAGGGCACCTCCTGGAGCCTATTCTCAGAAGCAGGGACTCACAGTTGATAGTGGTTAGGAATGAAGGCCCAGTAGACTGCAGGGCTCCATTCTTTCATGACATCTCCCTCTTCCTGTCCCTATGAGGCCCCAGGTCTCAGTGTGATGAGAAGTCAGAACAGAAGACAGAGGTTAGCACTCCCTCTTCCTCACCCTCAGTGTGCTCCTCCCAAGCCAGCCAGCCTGCCACATTTATACCAAAGGGCTAGGCTGAGACTCAGCCTGGCCCTGTGTTTACCCTGTGTCTTATGCACACAGCCCATCAAGTCTGAGAAGCCCATCAACATGGAGAACCTGCCAGTCAATGATGGGAATGGACAGGCTTTTGGGTATATTCTGTATGAGACCACCATTGCCTCGTCGGGTGTCCTCCATGGTCATGTGCGTGATCGGGGCCAGGTAGGAGTGTCTCTTCTGAATCCCAGGGACCTTCTACTAACCAGACTTACAGTATATACCTTACTCTCTCTGCCCTCAGAGTCACCTGTCCCCAGTGTGTAAAACGGCTCCTCCCCTGACTCTGTGGCCCTTTGCAGCTATGACCGTGTTGTTCATTTCTTCTCCATGCCTGGCTAGAGCCCCTCCTAGGCAGGCAGGCAGGCACACAGCACTGCCTCTGTCACTGCCTGGTGGAGTCCCCTCTCAGCCACCCTCCTGCTGACCATGGATGCTTTTTGTTTGCTCACTCTGGCAGGTATTTGTGAATACAGTGTCCATAGGATTCTTGGACTATAAAACAACGAAGATTGTTATCCCTTTGATCCAGGTTTGTTATCCTCGGGAGCTGGGTGTGGCTAGCCCCAGCTGCCTCTGTGGAGGCTTGGTGGGATATCATGAGGAAGACCTAGAAGACAGTGGGCTCTTGAATCACAAGGTGTGGATGAAGAGGGCTGGGCGTGGCTTCTTAGCCAGCCAGAGGCTCTCACTCCTATTCTCAGAGCATAGGGATGAACTGGGGTCCAGAAACACACCCTGAGGTACATCAGTGACACTGTGGCTGAGTCATCAGGCAGTTATCATTGGCCACTGTGTTCCTGGCAGGGTTACACCATGCTGAGGATCTTGGTGGAGAACCGTGGGCGAGTCAACTACGGGAATAATATTGACGATCAGCGCAAAGGTGGGTCTCAGCACGAGCTGGGAAGAGCTGCCACTGCTCCACACAGACCTGGGCAGCTACTTCTTCATGCAGCTCATCAGTAGGTTGTGGAGTCCACTGGAGGGAGGGTAAGGCTGAGTGGGCCAGAAGAGCCTAGCTGTGTTCTGACCTCTTCCCCTTCAGCACTGCGCACTTGTGCGTGTGTTCATGGGGAGTCCACAGAGCACTGAACTGGTGGCCTCCAGTCTCTTGGCTCAAGTCTGCTTTTCAGGGAGTCATCGTCTTATTTAGGGATGAGGAGCAAAGAATGGGGTTGTTCGGTGTCCTGAGATGGGCACAGGACCTCTGCCTTCTTGGAGCTCCACCATGCATTTCTCTTCTTCCTCTCTCAGGAAACCTATAGATTGCTTTTCTATGATGAGGAAAAGGAATCAGGGTATATAATAAACAGAATGATTGCCCTTTCTAGGAATTTTGTATCAATTCACTTTATTTTTCTTGGCCTTCTGATCTTTCATGCTTTAATTTAGCTTTTTCTTTCTTTTATGTGGCTACCTAAATGTGGGTGTTTTCAAATAATGTATGAATAAAGAACTCAGGTAAGATAAATCCTGCTGTGGTGAGGAAGACTGCTGACCTTCCCATTTTCTCCAAGCTCTACATTAGTAGAGGAAACTTGCACACCCCTTTTCTGGTTGTATTTTCAGTAGAAATCCTTCTTGGTAGCCTTCACAGAAGTCATGTAGCCCTGACACTGGGACTTCCTTTCCAAAAGGACCTGCAAGTAGCTTGTAGCATATTCCAGGCCAGCCTTTCTTTTCCTGAAAAAGTTCCCAGTATTGGTCTGGGTCTCAGCATTTTCCCAGGTTCCCTCTGGGAGCCCACCTCCTTCCTCTGTTCTGCTAGGGGTTGGAATGATCTCCTGGCCTGACCTTTTTTGTCCATGTTTGCATTTCTGGGGCCCTCATCAAGTGTATCCTGACCCTCTCTGTCAGTCCTGTCCTCTGCACCACAGTTCCATGTTTGCAAGTTGCAGACCTCCCCTCCAGAAATGTGCACACGCACACACACACACACACACACACACACACACACACACACACTCCTACATACCTGTCCCTGTCCCTGTCACTTAAGAGCATCTGTGGGCCCTGTGATGCTTGTCTGCATTCCTCTGCCTGCTGGAATTTCACTCCGGGAACTCAGAGGCTCTACATCCACAGTCTCCTGGGGACCTCCAAGGCCACATAGCTGGCCCTATCCCTGAGGCAGGATTCATTACTGTTTGGAGATGTATAGTTCCACAGTGTCAGATCCCAAGTGGTACTGCCACATGCTGATGTAAATACTTTTAAAATGCCTCTTCAGTCCTGGGTTGGATGGAAGGTTTCTGGCTGAGCTATCTGGTCTGTTAGCCTGGGACCCTACAGATACTGACCTTGAAGTTAGGCCTACCCCCTGTCACTTCTTGGGCATGCAGAGCTTCCCTCAGAGAGGCTAGAGGCCCTACTATCCTGTGACATCTCAGCTCTGTCCCGGTGCTTGGGTGGATCATTCTTCCTACAGACTTGGAAGTCACGTGTTTGCTGGTTACCATCTCATTGGCATGAATAGGAAGCTTTGTCCTGAGTGCAGAGCTCCTTAGGCAGTACCTGCTACAGGAGAAGCCCATACTTGAACTTTCTCAGAACACCTATGGTGGCCTTGGATGTAGCTGGCCAGCTACCTCTGCCTTGGGCTTGCTCATGTTTCCTGGCCTCCTCCCCACAGGTCTGATTGGAAATCTCTATCTAAATAACTCTCCCCTGAAAAACTTCAGAATCTACAGCCTGGATATGAAAAAGAGCTTCTTTCAGAGGTGGGTCCCTTCTTGAGTTCATGTGAACTTGCAGATGATATGCATGGTAGCTGGGACCCAGAAATCCTGTGGGTGCCTGCAGGTATACAGATGGACTGAGGCCCAGTACTTGGACAGGCAAGGGTAGTACCACCCTAGAACCCTGTGCTGTTAGGAAAGGAAGGTCCCTTGTGCCACCTTGCTGCCATTCCTGTGTCCTGGTTGAGAGGCAGGGGATAGGGATGTGGCGCCCTGAGAGTGGAAGGGGTGCCCCCTAGGAACCCTATGAAAATCTGGAACTAGATCTGAGAAAGTCCCTCCCACCCATTCCTGCTATGTTCTGTCCCATAGGTTCACCACTGATAAATGGAGCACTCTCCCCGAAGCACCTACATTTCCTGCTTTTTTCTTGGGTGTCCTCTCTGTTGTCCCTTCCCCTTCTGACACGTTTCTGAAGCTGGAGGTTTGTAGGCCCCTTTCCCTACCCTGGATCTCATGTTTTCCAGGGCTGTAAGCCACAAGCCCTTATGCTTGGCCTGGCTGGAGGCCTCTGGCACCTGGGTTGCCCATCTGAAAGTGCCTTGCTGCCCTCTGGGGGAAAGGACAGGGGAGCAAAGCAGAAGTACCTGGTGGTGCTTCTTGGTGCTGGGTTCCTCTGTCCAGCCAGTGCTTGGGTACCCTGCCTGGGAGGATCAGAGTTAGCAGAGTGGGGCAGAACACACCAGCTTTGTGGTCTCTGAAGCTGAGTGAAGAACATAGGTTGTTTGTCTGACTGCATCTGACTTCTGGTGTGTTGTTCCTTCCCTGGCTCTTGTGGTAGACTAATGCCCCACCACTCTGTTTTAAGGGCTGGGAGAAGGGGGTTCTGTTCGTCAATGGCCAGAACCTTGGACGATATTGGAATGTTGGACCCCAGGAGACCCTCTACCTCCCAGGGGTCTGGCTGAACCCAGGAGACAACCAGGTGGGAGCACTTCTGATTTCCTCTACTTTTCCTTGCGACTTCTTTCCCACCCCTCTCTTCCTGGCGTCAAACTGCTTCCCTGGGAGCCTTTGGTAAGGACTGGGGCAAGGGAAAAATTCTACCCAGGCTTATCCTTTCCCTCCCAACCCTGCTGCCTTACAGCCTCCTGATCTGGCTCTAGGACAAACCCCACAGCCCAGCCTCTCTCTCCCACAGGTCATTATTTTTGAGGAGACAATGGCAGGTCCAGTGGTGCAATCCACTGACATCCCCCACCTGGGCAGGAACCAGTACATTCACTGAGCAGCAGCCCCGTGCCTCCTTCTTGGACTTGCTATCTTCACCTCCCTGTAGGAGTCTCCTTAAGTAGCATTCTCAGGGACCTGAGGGCCACAGTCTACCCTTGGTCTGAACCCTCCACCTGGGGGTCCTGGAGAGCAAGGTGGAAGGCATGGGGGACCCCTTGCCTCTAGATGGCTCCTTGGCCTGGCTTTGTGGCTGGTACTTTCCCACCTCCTTGCCCTCATGGGATAGGCCTCAGGGATGTCTCTGAGATGTGGGAATGTTTAGTCAGATACCAGTGATGAATGCTGGGTCCCCAGACAAGGTGCTGAAGCTGGGGGCCTCTCCCACTCTGGAGTAAAAGCCCTGCTGGTCAGTCTGCTGAACACAGGTGTGCTCTCAAATGTCCAGGGCTGTACCCCACATGGCCCCTTTCTGTCCCTGAAGTTGTGGGTTTGTCACTGGTTGTAGAGGATAGGGAAGGGGGCAGTCTCATCTGAGTCAACTTTATTTTTTTCTTCACTACCCTCTCTGAGCTGCCTCTGGGATTCTGGAAGACACTCCATTTGAGAAACAATGTTCTCTCTTTTTCACTCCTGCAGTCTGTCTGATAGGATGACACACTAAACTTAAGAGAAACAGAAATAGCCACTCACTCTCCTGAATTAGAAAGCATTTCCAGTTGTACTCAATGAGAAGTATACTTTGAAGGGAAATGTGGATTGTAGCAGAAAGTCCACCCCACATCTCACTTCAAGGGATAGAAAGTCAGAGGTCCAGCTAAGTGACATTGGGCAGGTGGCCCCCAGGGAATGTTGGGGGTAGCCAGATGGTCCACAGGTCTAGCCCAGGCATTGTCCCCAGTTTGGTATGTCCCCTGCCTTCTGTAACTAGGCAGCAGGAAGAAAGGTAGCCTTCCTGTGCAGCTGTCTCCTTGTCCAGACTAGAGGCTCTTTCTCTGAGATAGCTCAGGTTCACTGTCCTGAATTGAATAAAGCAATAGAGATTAACCAAACCCTCTTTGCCAATGTGTCTGACTTATCTGTGCCACTCTAAGCCATTGGGGAGGGCATCGTAGGGTCAGGTACACATTTCACTGCTGGTACTTGAAGATCTAGATACTGACCCTACCCAACTGGTGCCAGTCTGTACCCCGGGCTTCTTAGCACTCCTTGAAATACTGCTGGATTGGAAGGGTCACTGGAAAGGAGAGGCCAAATGCAAATCCATTCTCATGAAGATGGACAGGATTAAAAATGCACCAAACAATCAAGAACACTAAGTTAGGTATGGTGGTGGGTAGTGGTATTTTCTTCATAAACTACATTTGGCATGCATTACCTAAAACTAATTATCTTCAGTAATAGTCAAAGGCAAAACAGCGCACCTGTTTTGAGCACAGTGCTTTCATGGGGTTGGGAAGAGTGGAGCAAGGAGCCATAGCCTACAGGCAGAGGGCAGGATGCCCAAACACAGGATCCATAAGTGAGGGTACCCCTGCTGCCCAAGGGTCCCGTGCTGGGTAGAGAAATGAAGCTTATTAAAGTTTAGGTTGTGGACAGTGGAAGGAGAGAAAGACAGAGGTACAACCCCTAATTTTGTCCACACTCATGCACCAGCTCTTTCTGAGCTCACTGGAATGGTAGGCATTGAGTTAAGAGGTGGTTGATCCCAGACTCCCTTGGGTGTAGCCTGAGCCATGGAACGATGTCACAGTGTCACTTTATTGTGCATTACATAGCAGCAAGGTTTCTGCAAAGCTCAGCTCTGCTGGAAAGTGTGGCAGGGAATTGAAACTTAACACAGGGCTTCGTTCCTATCCATACTCACTGCAGTGGCCATACCGGTGAGGCCTGTGGCTTTGTAAACAGCCTGATGCCAGTACCTTTCGATGTTGGTCCCCATTCACGTGCCAGGTGCACGGGAAGCTGTCCCCTCACCATCTCCATATGTGTAGCAGGCATCTGAAACCGAATTCCGATTCCCCCCACATGGCCCCTCCTGTACTCTGTCTCATGTCAAGAAATGGAAGTTCTCTTCTGTGTGCCTGTGATTATTTCTGGCTCTTTTCTTTATATCCTTCTTCCATTCCCTTCCTGGCTTTCCCCCTAAAACATACCTGCAATTCAGCCACTTCTTTCTGTCCTGAAGCTTGCACCCTCAGAAGGCCTGCCATGGTCTCTACCTGGGTTTTTGCAGGACCTGCCTTCCTGCTGGTCCTTGCTTTCTCCATCTGTCAGCATGAAGAGCAAAATCATTCTTCTAGAAAGCCAGTTGGATCATGTTGGTCCCCTGTGCTAAACCCGCCCATGCCTTCTTGTTTTACACAAGGTAGAAACTGACAGCTTTACCCACAGCACCATCTTATGTGCCTCCTCGTCTCCCACCACACCTCACCCTCTTCCCTTGCCCAATCAGTTGGAGAAGCAGGAGCTTTCTGGATGAGCTGTGAACATGCTAAGTGCCCTCCTGCCTGACAAGAGCTCTATTTGGAGGATGCTCTGATCCTATGAACTGCATGTCAGGCTGTTGCTGCTCTGCTCAAAATCACTGCTTTGGGGTGACCTTTCTGACCGCCCCACTTGGAACCTTAGCCACTCTCAGTGCTGCTACACTCCACTCCCCAACAAGGTCTCTCCTTACAGCAGATCACACTTGAAATGCTGTGCCTTTGTCAGCTGAGTCCTCTTGATAGAGGGTGAGCTACATGAGGACCAGGATTTTGTTTTCCTATGGCTGTGTGCTGGCTTTTAGAACAACACCTGGTCATAGTAGGCACACTGTGAATACTTGTTAGATGACTAAATCAATAAATGAGAATAAAATAAGGCAGGGCCAAAGAGGATTTTGACTGTTAAAAACCATATTTGACTTTTAATTTTGAAAACAAATTACATTTAAATGAAAACAGAGCAGATGGTGCAGCTGCCTGGGCCTCACGCTTACCCCAGCCTCTGCCCTGGGAATGCCTAACCCTGGCCCCACTGCTTTGGGCCGGCTTGCCAGCAATGGGAACAGGGAGTAGCCTGGGTGTGGAGAACAGGTTGCTGTCATGGACTAGTTCTGATTCATAACAAACTCATTCCCAACAAAGAGAAGGCTGCAGTCCACCAGGGTTATAATTATAAATAAATATACATGCACTAAGGGAGGATATTAGGCAAAAAACAACTGAACTAGCATCTGCCAAAAAAATTCCCTATTTTGTTGTTCACTGTCAATTTCCTGAAAATGAGCCCTGGTTTCTGGCTAAGAAGATTGCCTCAGACCAGCCCATCTGACCTTGGCATTCAGGGCTGCTTTCATGAGTGAGGCAGTAGAGTGCCCAGATGGAAGTTCACTCGCTGGTGTATGTCCTGTGCCCACCTGCTCCCTCTCCCATGCCACCTCACTTGATGCCAGGGATCTGTTTCCAAGTGTCGAGGTTGGGAAGATGTCCTATGAGGTGGCTCTGGACCTGATCCCATCAGGTGGTCTCGTGAACACCATGGGATGTGAAGTCCATTTCCAGACAGGCAGCCAATGCTATGCTCTGAAAGTTAGGTCGCTGCACTGAGTCCCACCCAACCTGGGATTGGGTTTTCAGTGGTCCACAGATGTGTCCTGTGAGTTTTAATGGAGTAAGGGGCTATTAGCAGTTAAAAAATAAACACCTCTTCAGTGGGCTTGGGCCCTTTCCTTTTCCTCCTCTTGGGAGAAAAATTGTGCTTCCAACCTGCAGGAGAATGCTCTGGATCACCACCAGAGGGCCTGTGTGGGTTGCAGGCCGGGGCCTGTCCAGCGCCCGCCAGTGGAGGGCAGCCGCTCACTGCACACTGTTCTCTCGGGGTGGAGAAGGCAGCAGGACAAGAGGAGAGCTGGCTCTGCGAGTTCCCAACTTAGAGAGAAGTGAGATTTCTTTCCTATTTTTAAAAATGAATGATTTCCAAAGCAGTGTATGCTCAGGTCTCTTCTCAGTGCTCAGCGGTTGTCTGCTCTCTTTCCCTAGATCCCTCTTCCATCCCCTCCTACACACACACACACACCAAGACTGGGCAGGAGGACCTCGGGGTTGCCCTAGCCTTCCTCCGCTCTTTGGCCAAAGGAGCTTTTGCCTGCCCACCACTGCTCCTCCAGCCCTGAGGTCTGAGGGTGTTGAGGAAGTGGGCCTCTCCCTTTCTGGGTCCAGGCCAGGCAAGCAGCTTCGCAGCCCAGGGCTGTGGGAGGCAGTGTGTGGACAGTGGGGTCGTGTGGTTCTGGGTGCAGGTCAGTCGGTGACCTGTGCTGGCTCTGGGCTGCCTCCTTGCCAGTGCTGGAGGAGAAGGCTTGAGGGAAGTGGGCAAAAGGGAGGGGCTCCGCTCCTGTCACAGCCTGAGGTACAGGGGTTGCCAGCAGGCCCAGGCTCCCCCATGCAGGGCTAAGTGCCAGTTGGGTTCAAAGACAGCCTGATGCTCTGTAAACATGGACCGGAGGAGAGCCAGAGGTATGTCTGATTTGGGAGCAGTGCTCAGGAAGAGCAGGTGCCGGGGAGGGGCATGGGGCATGTGTGATGCCCCTGGGCTTCTCTCTTGTCTTCTGTACTCCCTGGCAGCCTGTGTGGTCGTGCAGAAGCAGGGAGCCAGCATGGGCTGTGTCCCCTTGACTGTGGGTCTTCTCACCTTCCTCCCAGCCCCATGTGGGTGCCCAGGCCCTGTCCATGCAGGGACCTAATCCAGAGTGTTCTGGGCACCAGCGCTGCTGGCAGCTGCATCCCTCAGCCCTCAGTCTCTCAGGCCCTGGGTCATGTTGGATGGAGAGAATAGGTCTGGGATTTCTGTGCTTAAATTCTCTGTTCTTTGTCCTGGCAACAAGCTGGGCCCCAGAGAGGCCTCCAGAATAGCAAGCAGGTGATGATGCTTCCTCGGGACTCTGCTGTGGAGGCCCAGCAGCCATGGGGAGAGGATGGAGGCTGAGAACAGGGTCTGAGGAGCAGGCTCCTGTGAGGCAGAGGAGAAACCAGAGGGGTCAGCCTGGGTAGGATCATAGAGGGAACAGCCAGCATGGCTAGCCACTTAGTCTGGAGCCCCAGATGGGGCCACTGGAGTCCACAGAGCCCAAGCCCTCCTTGCACTCTTTTAGGGGGCAGGTGGGGAAGGTTCCCAATGACTAGGTAAGGGCAGGGGGCTTGAGACAAGGGTCTATACTGATTCCTTCTAAGTGGCATTTCCCAAGGTGACTTTGCAGGTTCAGGGGACAAAACAGGCAGAGTGAATGTCCCAATCCCTGTGGGCAGGGGGCTTCAGGTGTCCTGGGGCCTGAGGACAGATGTGTGGGTGCTCAGTGAGCTCTAGCCTTCACATATACAGCCTAGAGAAGGGAGTCGTGAGTAAGGCATGCTTTCATGAGGCAGGTGAGGTCACAGAGGAGCCCTCTGGATGCTCTGGCCTGTTTGGTCACTGAGCACCACTCACACACGCCAGGGCATTGCCCTGGGCAGGTTATTTCACTCCTCAGAAGCTATTTCTTTACCTCTGAACTATGTAGAGATCCTGTGGCCTACCACTACAGAGAGATATAAAGAATAAAATAAAAATAGAAAAACTTAAATAGGACTTGTTAGGTTCCCCAGACTGTCAGGGCCTCTGGCACGGATGAAGAAACTGAGGCAGAGGAGTAAATCAGTTCAGACAGAGAAAGGTGATAGGTCTGGGTATGGAAGCAGGATCTGGGCCCATGAGCCACTGGCTTTTGAGAGCCACAGGGTTACTGGGTGGAGCAGGTGCATGGCAGAACCCCTTCCAGGGGGACGAGGCAACCTCAGGAACGAACCTGCTGTGCATGTCTGAGTAGCGGTCTCTTGCTGTGGGCTAGGGTACAGTAAAATGGTGAGCGAGGTGATGCCATCCCAAGTGTCTGGTGGCAGGACTTCACTATGTGGGTGCAATCTGGCACCTGCCACCTGTCAGATGAACAGGAAGGGGACTTTAGCTACACCTCTTCCTCTCTTGCTCACATTTAGCCCTGTCCTCCCACAAAGACCAAGAGGAGGGAGGCTGAGGCAGGAGGACCATGAGTTCAAGCCCAGCCTGGGCAACAGTGATTTAGGAAGAACCTAAATGAGGGAATGGAAGGGACTGGGGATGTGGCTCAGTGTGAAGGGATCCCCAGTAACACACACACACACACACACACACACACACCACCAACAACAGGAGAAGCCCCAGTACTGCACTGCCCAGCTCCTCACCTGGCCTGGGCTGCCTGATCTCCTACCTGCATCCTGAGGCTCAGATCTCCACCGAGGGGTCAGTGAAGCCCTTCTTGCCCTCATTCACCAGCACTGGCTTCTCTGTGCGTGTGTGCCAGACCAGGATCTGTGTCCAGAAACAGGAAATGAAGTGGGGCCGTTTCCTGACGTCACCCAGCCCCTCCCTGTTCCCTCCTATGACCTCGGTATTTCTCACAGCCCTCCCCCTCTGCCCTTGTTCCCTCAAGATTTCTCAGTTGTTATTTATTTCTGCCTACCCCCTCATTCTTGCCATGTATACATGTGATGCATTGATGCATTCAAAATATCTATTGGAAAGGAGAATCTAAAACGACGGAGTACAGATAAGACCCAAGATCTCCCAAGTGTGTGTGCATATGTGCATGCGTGTGTGTTTGTATACTCAACAGCAAGATCATGGGACACCATTGTTCTGATGGGGAGCAGTAATCCTTAGTCATGTCTACCTTATGGCCATCCTTCCCCATTTCCCTGCCTGCCATAGTGTGGCCTCCTCACCAGCAATAGAGAAATTGCCTTTCCTGGTGGGAGTTTCAGAAAGGCAAGGTTATTTCGAGGCTAGTTTCCTTCCCACTTCTGTAGAGAGGGTCTGGATGGGCTCAGGGACAACTACCTTGCACCTACTGGCTCTACAAGTGCTCCTACCTTGGTGCAGTTGGCTGCCTTGGGCTCCAGGTCATTGAGGGTGACGAGCTCTCGGAGCAGGCTGCTTTCCTGGTAACCTCCCTTCACGCCGCGCAGCTTGAAGTAGGCCTGGCTCCGCTGTAGGATGAGCCGCAGGTTGACGGCGAATCCAGCCATGTCTATTGCAAATGGTCGGTGGGGGTCGAACACTGTCTTCCAGCCAACCACCTTCCCTGCCCCGTTCACCCGCGGGGCCTCGTACCGAAGGCCACCAACAAAAGCAACTGGCCACACGGACACCCTCCTGGTGCTGCGCATCTACAAGGGAGGAGACGGAGTCAGGAGGGCCAATCTGTGGGCAGGAACAGCCCTCACAGTCTGGGGCGTGCGGTGCGTGGCAACTGAAGACGCGGGGGCCTCTGCCTTCTGCTGCCTCCGAGCCCTGACCATTAGACGCGGTGCTCACCTCCGAGGTGCAGGCCTGCTGCTGTGTTCTTGCACAACACTTCGCAGTCCTGCCACGAATTGGAGTGACCCCCCCGCTCAATTCGCACCACCTCTGAACCCCGAGGGAGCTCAGACTGTCCCACAGGAGCAACAGTTTCTGGTCACCACACTGAACACCCCCAAATCAAACCTCCTTCTGGATAAGACTTCTATGGCTGGGCTTGTAGTTTGGGGGCTCCGAACACCACCTGTCTTTCCTTTAAGTGGTGGGAGATGGTTTGGCCCACGGGGAGGCTTTCCACTCTTCTCTGGTTCTCTGCCATCTGCACAGACCCAGTTGCCCACTCTAATCCCTCTCCCAGGCCCGCCCGCCAGTCCCCTTCCTGACACCCTCGCACCTCCTCGAAGAGCTCCAGGCTGTAGGTGTTGTCGTCATCTGCGAAGTACACCACGCCAGGCTGGGTGGAGTTTCGCGGGAAGGTCTCCCTCAGCCAGCGCAGGGCCAGGTTGCGCTGCATGGTGCCCCTTGGGATGCGTGGGTCACGGGCGTCGCCTCGCAGCTTGTAGTTGCGGGGTGTCTCCACGTGCAGGTGTGTGTAGTTGAGGCCAGTGTCTCGAAGAAGGCGCGCGGTCAGTGGGGTGCGGCGCGGTGCGTCCTCCACCACCAGCCAGTGCAGGTTGGGCACATGCAGCAAGGTGTTAGCCATGCGCGTGAGCTCGGCCTTCTGCACCGGGCGGCTGTAGGTGGGCGTCACCACGTGGATGGTGGGCAGCGTGTCGGACCAGGGTGGCGGCCGCGTGTACACATACTCCGTGCGCACCACCTCCACGATGTCGCGGTCAGACATACAGTACTCCCTGGGGTCGGGCGCTTCTCGCCTGGGGTCACCGCCCTCATCTGCGGAATTGGAAACAAGGCGCATGGGATCAGGAGCGCTGGGATGCCCCCCCCATCCAGGGTGGAGAGCAGCACCCTGACAAGGAAGCCCTATCCTCTGCCCCAGAGGGGCGGCAGCGTCTGCTGGATGTGCGAGAGCTAGAGCCAAAATCTGCATCCCTGGGATTCTCAGGGGATTTTCTTCCTGCTGACTCCCAGGATGACACAAATAACCTCTTCCTCCTCTAACACTTGACAGCCCTGCCGCTGCTGTTTGAGTGCAGCTGGCAGCATCCCAAGCTTGCATGCTCTGTTCTTGAGTGCACTGGGTTTTCTACGACAAACTTCCCTGACCCTCACCTCCCTAGTGAGGCCACATCCACATCCGATGGGGCCAGCCGCACTGCACCGTGGCACTGCCACACTCATGCTTGGTGGATGCCACAGGGCCAGAGCAGTGTGTTGCAGCATGCAGTGGCCCTCACAGAACCTGAGGTGAGCTGCCTCAGATTTTTCACTAACTCTAATTGGGTGGGGCCTCTTCCCTCCTGGTTTTATGTAATCCAGTCTTTGAATTTTAGCTTAGAATTTAGTGTCTAACTGCAGCATTTGATTCCATTGGGTTCTGCCCGCAGTTGTCAAGAGGGTTTTGCATCCTGAAAGTCATTCCTGATTTTATACACTTTTACATTTTGGAAGGTATGAAGTTACATGGTGGAGCCTTTCCTCTTTTGTGGTGCCTGTCCTCTGATCTGCACTTTCTGTACACTCTTATTTGGCCCCGGGGACACTGTCAGCTCCACTGTCCTAGCATCCAGCTTCTCTTTCCTGTCTCCTTTCTGGGGGTGACCTCCTACTGAGGAAGCTCCAGCAACCAAGGTTTTCCTTACATCCTAGACATTTTCCTCATGGGAAATCCAACAGTCGTGTTAAAATGAGCCATGGGGGCCACTGGTATTCTGGTTTTTGTGTTTGAAGGGATTCTACATAGAAGCATGGCCTTTGATGCTCATGATGAGCCATGGTAGCAGGGAGGTGATAGGCATAGGATAGACCTAGCAGCCTGGGTGCCCAGGCTTAGACCCTACCCTTCTCTCATTACTAACTATGAGCTCTTGAGGAAGTACTTGGCTTCTGGTGCCTAGATTTCAGGGACGGTAAAATGGAACTATTAATAGCATCCACTTTATTGAGTTACTCTGTGGATTAATGAGTAAATGCACATTCTGATCTCAGAGCACTGCCAGACACAGTGTGGATTATTTCCTCTTGTGTAGGATGCTAGCTGCCCTACTTCCTCCTGGCTCCCTGTGAGCACAGTGAGGATGGAAAGAACACGGTCACATAGAGGATGCTGGTTGGACCTTTCTATTCTGCCCCTGGCCCACCACTCTTCCTGGCTGCCTGGACGGTGTGCAGGGTATTTGTGTGGAGTCTGATACATTTGAATCTGGAAGATGAGCTGGCCTTGGTGCTTAGCAGCTGGGAACCAACTACCTGGGCCACAGATAGGATGCCAGGAAAGAGGAGGGAGCAGGGAGGAGAGCAGTACAGTTGCAGCTCATCAAAGGAGGCTTTTTGGAGGAATTCTGGGTCACAGTGAAAAAAGAACAAGCTTGAAGACGGATGCATGTCCAAGATTCTGAGCAGGATATAAACTTTAATCTATCCTGCAGTCAAAAAAGGAAACAGATGTCTGGGAGAAGATTTAGAGCTATTTGCCTAGTCTCTGCTCTCCAGATAACCCTAAACAGGTACAAGCCTGTGCCAGGGAAAGGCCTCTCATGTGGGACTCCTGCATACCACCCTTCCCACTGGCTTTAGAGAATCTGCAACTTTGAGTCATGAATGCCCGTTGTGATCCTAACTTCATTCACCTTTAGAATCCACTCAATCCACCCATCTTGGCTTGCCCTGGGGAGACAGGATGCCAAGCCATCACCTTCAGGCATAGCAACAGTGCTTAGCAAAACAGCCCAGCTACTCTGACCCTAGCTCTGCCAAGAATGCAATGGTCATTCATAGGAAAATGGATACATATTGAAGATATACTCCTAAGTGAAATAAATAAGTCACATGTGTAAATACTGAATAGTTTCCCTGGTGTGAATAATCTGCAACAATGCATAAGATTCTAATAAGATTACTGACATTTAGAAATGGGAAGAAAGGAGCTAAAGGTGTAGGGAAGGTGGGATGGGTAGGGGAAGAGTAAAAAGGGAAAAGAAAAAAATGTGAGAGAATGAAAAGATGAAAATAAAGTGTTTGTAGATGGGGAGGGGAGGAGGGGGTGAAGGGAGGGCAGAGGTAAGGGGAAAAAATGAGAATCAAGACTTGTCATGTAAAGGTACAAGATCCCAACAATGAATGTATCCCTAAAATGTACCAATAAACTCAATTAAAGCTGAAAAAAAAAAGAATACAATGGACATAATATTATGTTGCTTTGTATATGGTAATTTAACCCCTTGGGAGTGATGTGTTTTTAGGATAACCATGATTCTAAACTGACAGGCTCGAAAGAGAGGTGCTAGAGTCAGGAGCGGAGAGTACCATCAGGTGGAGAGGTCCAAAGTGGCCAACATGGACAGCAGGGCTGCAACAATCTTGAGCTTGGCCTTTCTTCAAGGAAGCTGCAGGGACTGCAGGAGGCTTTGCATGAACGCTTTCAATTGTCATTGAACCTTGGGGAGTAGCAATGCTTGCTCTGTGAATACAGCCTGCATCCGAATCCCTTGGGACAGGAGACACCCAGGCCCAACTCCAGAGCTACCTGTCTGTTGCTGAGATGGGCTTGGGTACTTTCTTGTTTTACCTATATGAGATGAGTATACATTGAGCTGTGAGTATGGCTCAGTGACACAGTTCTTGTCTAGCATGCATGAGGCCTTGGGTTCTATCCCTAGCACCTCGTCAAAAGAAAAAAAAAGAAAGAAAGAAAGAAAGAAAGAATAGGATAATAAACATTGCAAGGGGAGAATTGCTGCTTGCCTAAAAGTGTTCATCCTCCCCCAGAAGCATGAGACTAAAGGCTGAGGAGTGAGGGGCAGCTGGATGTGGGGTACATGAAAGTGCTGGAGTATAGGGAGCTCAGGTATAAGAGAAAAAGGCAACCTTGGGACTCAGAACCAGGAGAGCCGGTGGCTCAATTCCAGTGCTTCCTGGCAGGACACTTGATAGGTCAGAATCTCCTAGGCAAGAAAAGGGGACACATAACACACTTTTCTTGAAAGGTTTTAAAACACCATAGAGACTCTGAGAGGCTTAGCAGACCTCTCAAAAAATAAAGGGGTAGGATATAGCTTAGTGTGATGGCTCCGGGTTCAGTCTTCAGGCACTACAAAGAAAGGCCTCACAGTACAGGTGTTGAGTGTGGCTCAGTGGTACAGTGCTTGCCTGGCGTGCTGGAAGCCCTGGGTTCTACCCTCAGTGTTGTGAAAACACAAAGAACAACAGAAAACATATCTGATAAAATCCAGTTCTCCTCATTCCCTCTCACCTGCTGCTGAGTGGTCTGTTCCTTTGGTGAAACTGGATGTAAAGCTGTGTGTGTGTGTGTGTGTGTGTGTGTGTGTGTGTATCTTATTTTCTAAAATTTTTGTATAATTAATGCCTTGACATCTCAGGGCCTTGCAGACCTGAGAAAGGACCCTCCCAGGGGTACTAATTCCTAGTGACAGTACAATGCCTGAAACACACCTTTCATACACAAATGAACCAATCCAGAGCCCTTGCCCCAAACCACCTTTAGCAAACTCAGACACAAGCCAATCTTCCCCTGCCCTGAATTACCGCACAGCCAAATACTGGATAATTAGAAACCACTTCATATCCTAGAACCCACTGAAATGATTCAAATGATCCACTTCTAAGTCTGTTTGGCTGCTTGCTCCCCTTTCCTTCCCGCTGAAACCACAATAAAGGCTTTGGCACCCACCCCTTCTCCAGATCTGTCCCCAGGCTGACCCAGTGCTTCCCCTTAGGTCCTGCCCAGTGTGGCCCCTCTCCTTGCGAACTCAGAATAACAAATTCTTTCAATGCAGTGAACTTAGTGTCATGCAAATTAAAACAAATCCCAGGTTCATTTTACAACTGCATGTGGGAGCTTCTACCTGATTTCCAGAGTGAGGGTGAGATCCCAGAAGGGTAATATTAACCCAGATGATCCTCAGGGATCTCCTAGCTACTTAATACCTTACAACAAGAACCTGTCCATGGATAAGGGAGGCTGAATGGGACAGAGTGGGCTCACCCTTGTGCATGGCGAGCAGGGGTGCCAGGGTGGTCTGGTGCCACACGGTGATGAGCAGTGTCCAGGGCAGCACGATGAGGACGATCGCAAGGATGTCCCGTCTTTTCGGCATCTCCAAGGCTGGCTGCACCCACAGCTCCTCATTACCTGAGTGGTGGTAAGGTCAGGAGATGGGTGGCCACGGAGCAGCAGCAGCAAAGGGGAGAAAAGAATAGGCATGGGCCGGCCGGCTAGGCATGGAGAGAACAGAGAAGCTGAACGCTGGCTAGCAGGTCTTACCAGCACTCACAACCCACCCATTGCGGAAGCAGGTTTGGAGAATCCTGGCCGAGGAGTCTGAGAAGGGGTGGTTGTCCAGGGGCAGGGTCAGGAACCCTCGGAAGTGGACACCTGCAAGAGAGAGTGAGAGAGGATGGCCAGAGAGCTGGGCATGGGGGCATCAGCATCAGAAGGAGTTTCTGTTCCCCCAAGGACCTCTTCCTTCTGCCTGTCTGGGTCAATGAGGCTGTGCCTTTCCCACTAGCACCAGGTGTGGTAATGATGGACTTCAGAGACAACTGAGAAGTCTGAAATGTGCTGCCCATGAGCTATTGCACCTCTGCCAGGTACACCAACTCTGTACCACAGTTTTGTCATCCGTAAAGTTGGGCCTTACTTCCCAAGGTTCTCAGAGTTAAACAGTACCAGCTGCCCCTGATGTCAGTGCATGAGAAACCAAGCTACTATGATGTCCAAATGGTCGGGCCTGGGGGCGTTTCATGGCCTGGACAGTAGGGTCAGAGTTGGAAGGCCTTCCCTGAGAGTAAGGAATGTGTGTTTTAGAGCTAGGTTGTAGCAAATTCTTGTGGAAATTCGGGCTAGGGTGGGCAGCAGCAGGGATAGGGGGTGATCTTGTGGCTGCTAGGTCTTGGGGAGACACTTCTCAGAAACAGCAGTTGCAAGGCCCCAGGAAAGGCACCCCAGTGAGAAGAATGTGCGTTCCATTCTGCTGACCATCTGTAGGCAGCCACCCCCTGTAAGACTTGTTCAGTCCGGTGACAAGGAGACTCAGTGTATCAAGTTCACGGCCATCTTAGAAGGTGTCACATTTACTTCTCCTGCCTTCACTTCTGAGTCGCGCTATGCAGATGCAGCTGGGGTCTGTAGGGCGGAGGGGAGAGGGCAGTGGGGCATCCCGGCAGCCTTTGAGGTGCCACCATCCACAGTGCCCACTGGCTGTAGCCACAGCCTGCCTGTGCTCTCCTCCTGAGGGGGTGGAGAGGCATGCCCACAAAGTTTCTGCCACAGCTTTGGGGAGAGTGTGCTGCATTTCTCCATCTTATTCTTCACTAGTTCTGAGGCCTGCTGGAAGACCCAGGTCTGCCTCCCAGTAAAGAGCACTTTGGTTCTGTTGCCTGCCCTTCTTACCAAAGGCCCAATGACTCCACAGTCTGTGGAAAGAGGGTGGCAGGCACCCCTCATTCCCTAGGTGGGAAGGAACACAGAGTTAAGTATCATGGACCTGCAGGGAGGGCCATTGTTCTGCCTGGGTGTGGCATCCCCTTCCCCTCCTCTCGCTAGCCTGGCAAGTGACACAGCCCAGTGCCAACACCATGGAGCATGTGGGAGTCCTGTGTGAGAGGCAGAGTGACCTCATGCCACACCCTCTGGACCAGGGTCCTGGCCCCCTCACCTAGGCCCTAGCAGGGCTGCACAGGCCTTTGGGTCAAGGCTGCGTGTTGGCTGACACAATTTTAGTGCACTTCTGATGAAGTGTTAAGGTCTGAAGCTTATGCTGAAAGTTGCCAGTCACCATGGTAGTGCTCACAGGGGCACTTAAAGAAATGATGTGGTCATTTAGAGGGTGAATGCCATTCTCACAGGAGCAGTACCATTCTCACAAGAGCAGGGAATCATAAGGCAAGGTTGTCCCCCCTGCATCTCTGCTTTCTGCTGTGACTTGAAGCAGCACAAGGTCCCCTGCTGGCACCATGGGCCTGGGCTTCCAGACTCCAGAACTTTGAGCCAAACATATACCTTTTTACTGTAAAGTACCCAGGCTCAAGTCTGTTACAGTGATAGAATGCACGAAGATAGGAAAACTGGGCTTGTCTGGGCCTTCTAAAATAGCTGAGAAGATTTTTTTGTGTCCTCAGAGACTTGAAAGCAGCATGCTCAAATGTTGCTGCCCTTTGGGAAGGTTCTGATACTAGGAAGGAAAAAGCTAAGGAAAGAGGTGAGTGTAGGACACCGGGCAAGTCTGTCAGCTCCTTCTTGTTTTTATGCCTCTTCCTTCTGGTCAGCTGCTTTATCCCACGGCCCTCACCTCTGACACCTGCTCAGTCCTCAGCTTGTCTGCACTGGCTGCCATTAATGATAACAGGATTTCCTGTTGCAGTCTGAAGCCCAAGTGCTGGGCTCAGTGCTAACACACCTGCTGGCAGTGCTTATAGCCGCTCTGTGTGGCTGTACTGTTGTCATCCCTGGTTTACAGCTGCATCCACAGAGGCCAGAGAAGGCAATCTACCCTCGGTCAAAGAAAGAAATGGTGGAGCCAGAATTCAATCTGTCTGTGTGTTTCCTGTCACTGAGAATGTGAGATGGGCCGGGCTCAGGCTGGACAAGGGACTAAACACTTTCTCTGGTCAGATAAGTTATGAGCCACCCTCCTAGGCCACAGTGGTCTGTACCATGGATGTTTGGAACTGGGAGCAGGGAGGAAAAATGGAGGGCAAACAAAAAGTGGGATGTGCAAGGGGGTCCATCCAGTGTTTTGGTCAAAATATCCATGAGAAGAAAGGGAGGGGAGTAAGCAAGAAAAGCTCTAAAAATAAACTTAGCCATAAACCCAGTTGTGCATTAATTACTTTGGAAGCCATTATGGCTTGAAAACCCCATAGCTTTAATGGAGGCTATTATAAGCATAGTGGCAAAATCCTGGAGCTAATTACCGGGCGGTTATTAGTAGAACAGAGCGTGCCCCAGCTGTGGAAAAAGTATCCGGCCAGCAGGGGGTGGGGTTGTGGGAACTGGGACTTCCACTTGTACAGAGGGCCTAGGGCTGGGGCTCCGTCTACCCTGAGTCTGAGATGGGGCTCTGAGGAGGGCCAGGCAGGCCATCCCCTAAGTCCTGCAGCTTCTGCTTGGGCTAAGAAGGGTGGTAGTTGCCTGTGGTCACAAGCCGAATCAATCAAGGACCTCAGAGAGGCTTCTGGCTTTGGATGGGAGAGACAGAAGAATAAACAACAAAGAGGAGATGCTGGTCAACAAGGAGGGGTGCCGTGGGAGAATGGGATGTTCAGGGCAGGGGTGGGGTGTGCAGCCCGGATCCTCTGAGGTTGTGACTTGATAGCCCAGTGCTGATACTCATGCCTGTGACTGACCCCGACACCAGCCAGTGTTCTCATAACCTCTGGTGGAAGGAGACAAAGCTGCATTGTGGACAGAATGGGCAAGGCTTAGTGGAGGACAGACACTGAGTGGGGAGTAGGAGCAGGTGGCAGGGCCACATCCCAGTTCTTCCTCGAAGCTGTGGCCCTGATGCTCATCCTGCTTGACCCCTGCCTTCATCTTTAAGGCATGGGGGGTGGTTGGAAGAGTTTCAATGAACTTTCAGTTTTTCCCTTATGCCAACTTGAAGCTAAGGCAGTTGAGGCTCTGAGAGGATGGAGAAATAAGTCAGGTGAGGTGCAGGTGGGTATCCTGGCCAGTGTGAGGTTAGAGGGCCAGTTTAAAGCTCCTCACAGAATGCTGTTTTGATGAGAGAGTCAATAAGCCTGTAATTGGCATGTCCAGGAAAACTCTCCCACAGGAATCCCTCTGCAGGTATTAGGGACTTGGGCTGTGAATGAGAACATGGGTTGCCTAGGACTTGGATGGAAAGGCTATTATTATTCCAGGCTGTCTGGGTGAGGTGGGGCTCAAGCCAGGCTGGACATTCAGGGAACAGCCAGGCCTGAGGGGCCAGGGCAGTGCGTGAGGTTGGCTCAAGGCTTGCCATTCCGCAGGTTTGGAGCAGCTTTCTTCTAATCCTGCAAGGTGCTCAGTGGAGAGCCTCTACCGCACCCCTTGTCCCTGAAGAGGAAGCTTGCTGAATTCCACTCCACAAAGAGTAACTGCGCATCTGTATATCTGTAGTGGGCAAGGTGCCATGTTAGATCTGTGAACAATACAGCAGAGTACACAGAGCACCCCAAAGCAGGGCATGACTGAGGTATACGTAAAGTTTGAGAGTTGTATGTGTGCAGTATGTGTGTGAGCATGTGTATGACAAAGACTGGTTACAGACAAGCCCACGACCCACCCATTCCGCCTGTTTCTGGAGGACGATCAAAGCCTTCCTACCCAGTAGGACAGGGAGCAGTTGTACCTTGGTTAATCAGAAAGCCCACAAAAGTGAGGCTCTTTCAGAAAGATACACATGCCATACACATTTCAATAAAAGGGACTTTAAAGAGCCAGTTGTTCAATAGTTGGTTTCCCCATAATTGTCAAGATGTGATCATTTTTACAAGGTGCAAACTACTCAGCAATGGCTGGCTTTCAGCCCTTCCACCTTATCAGTGCAGGGCCCGGCTTCTCCTGGTCCAAGGGGCAGTACACAGGATGTCTGCATTATTCTTCTGCATCTGCCTCACACAGGGATGCCTAGATGTCCAGCTCAGATTTTTCTGAAATGACTGGGGAACCAAGGGACAGCCATTCTGAGCATAGCCCCTAACAGAAGGTTTATGACTGTCCTATAAATTTTCACCTAATTTGGAAAATGCTTTTTTTGGAATTATTTGATGGCCCTTTTTTGAGACCATTCAATCTAGTTTTCATAGAAACAACACACTTATCTCAACGCACCATTTCAGTGGTTTACATAGTACTCCACGATAACAAGTACTGTCAGCGTAAATGGGGGAACAAAGGTTTTTGCCTCTTGGTGTGTGCCTGTCCAGTGCGAGCAGGCACTGGCAGTGGTCATGAGTGTGAATATTAGGCAAGCTGCTGAGTCTAGTGAGGAAAGGTAGGTTAAGAAAGCTTCTCAGAGCCAGAGCTATGGCTCAGTGGTACAGCAACTGCCCCGCACACAGAGAACTGGGTTCCATGCCCAGCACTGCATGAAGACCATCCAGGAGCCTGAGTCCCCCAAGCACTGATAGAGGGTGGAAGTTTCCTCTTTGTTCAGGATCATAACCAGCCTCACAGGAGTAGCTGGGCGAGCCAAGGTGGCTGGGGAAAGCTCCCAGGCCTCTGGGCATAATGTGTAAAATAAGATAATGGGAAGGATTGTGGCCCAGGCTTCAGCATCTCCCCCCAGCCCCTTAAACAGCCCCCTCTGCTGCACTGCCCAAAGAGAGGGAGGCGCAGACTTTTTCCCAGAGATCCACAGGAGCCCCTAATGGGATCAAGGGATTAGTATTGATTCTC